TCTTGTTAAGCATTAAAAATAAAGGTAAGTTTGTGTAAGGTTTTCTATTCCGAAAATGTTTAGTTTTCGAAATATTGCCAATTTAATATTTTTATATGGCGATTTTGCTCTAAAAATAATAACTGAACGCACCCTTGCGCATGACAGAATGTCAAGCAGAACGTGCATGTCCTTGTCACAAAAATTGAAATAATTTTCGATAATAATCATGCCGGGAAGATTAAATTATACAAATGAAGATTATTTAAATTTATTTATTATTTATGGAGAATGTAATAAAGTTATTTCAAGAACATGTGATACATTTGCGAACCGATATTCGCAGAAACAGAAACCAAGTGAAAAAACTGTTAAAAGAATTTTAGAAAACTTCAAGAACTTTGGATCCGTCAAAGCTAAAGTACATAGAAATAAACCAGTTATTAACAATGAAAATATTGAAATCGCAATTTTGGGATATTTTGCCGTAAATCCAACAATATCTACAAGGCAAGTAGCATTAGAATCAGGATTATCTAAAACATCAGTTCTAAGAATTTTATGGAAACATAAGTTTCATCCATACGCATTATCTACAGTACAACATTTAAAAGAGACTGATTTTCCAAGAAGAGTGGAGTTCTGTGATTTCATGTTAATTCTGTCACAAGAAAATGCGTTTTTTTTGGATAATATTATTTGGTCGGACGAAGCTAAATTCACAAAAAAACGGGATGTTCAATCGACACAATTCGCATTATTGGAGCGACTCAAACCTACATCTATTTAGAGAATTAAATTTTCAAGAATTGTGGCATTTTAACGTTTATTGTGCCATAAGAAATGACGGGGTCGTGGCACTAGAATTCTATCAAGAAAATCTAAATGGTGAGCTATAGTGGCCGAGTTCGTTTTTGTCATCTTTTTCGTCGATTTGCTCCGAAATTTTGACAGGCACGTGATTTGTAAATTGAAACTGTCTTACCCAGTCATGTGCCTGTCAATATTTCGGAGCAAATCGACGAAAAAGATGACAAAAACGAACTCGGCCAGTATTACCAAAGTCACTTGGAACAAGGCAAAAGTAGATCATAACTGGTGGCAGACTAGTGGCAGTACATTTATGAGAATGTTCAGTGACCAGTCAGCCACCAGTTGTTACCTTGTTCCAAGTGACTTTGGAAAAACTATACCTATTTTTGAAGCCTTCTAGATATAAAATCCATTCTTTCACTTATAGGTGAGCGCTATCTCAACATCATTAGAAATTTTGAAGTCAACTATTTAGACAACTTGCCACTAGCCGACCGTAGAAATCTATTTTATCAACATTATGGGGCGCCTCCACATAATGGTCATTTAGTCAACAACCATTTGCAAAACTTGTTTTATGACCAATGGATAGCCAACGATAGGCCACATCTTTGGCCACCTCGCTCCCCCGACCTAACATTACTCGACTTTTTCATTTGGGGAACAGTCAAAAATAGAGTTTATAACACCGCATTAACCACCATGGAAGACTGCAAGCGGCGAGTCAGAACAGCATTTGAAGGCCTTAATCCTCAGTCAATAAGAAGAGCCACCCATGAAGAATTCCTTCGTAGGTGCGAAAAATGTCTCGAAGTTCAAGGCCATCAATTTGAACATTTATTAAAATAATTTTTGTAACTTTTTTCATTGTTAACAACTGGTTTATTTCTATGTACTTTAGCTTTGACGGATCCAAAGTTCTTGAAGTTTTCTAAAATTCTTTTAACAGTTTTTTCACTTGGTTTCTGTTTCTGCGAATATCGGTTCGCAAATGTATCACATGTTCTTGAAATAACTTTATTACATTCTCCATAAATAATAAATAAATTTAAATAATCTTCATTTGTATAAATTAATCTTCCCGGCATGATTATTATCGAAAATTATTTCAATGGACCTTTCCTTTCTCATTTTACCTGTGCTGCGCGCGCCGTTTGTGGGTGACAGATAATTAAATTGTCCATTTACTGAACGCGGTCTGACCCCAACTGACCCTGACGTATTTAAGCTAACCTCAATAATTAATCAATATCAATCAGTATTGCTGAAAATTATTACAAAAACTGTTTATGATACCACGGTTCAAATGTGTTGTATGAGATCTTGTTAGGATAAGGCGAAAAAGAAGTCAAACCTTTCTTTTCACAAGTTCCCAAGCAATCAAATTGTAAGAAAACAATAATTACGTGCTCTCAAACCGAATGAAGACGACTTAAGTTGGGACAGAGATTTGAGGGTTCGTAAAATAACGATTTCTATATCAAATACAATAATAATTGTACGCTGCAAACATTTTTGTCCAACGGTGTTTTTTTTTTTCTAATTAATATTGATACATATTTGTCATATTTACGTTTAAAAATAAACAAAAATAGAAACATAACCGAAATTGCACAATTTGACTAGTGGAACCAATCAAAGTCATTCCACACAGGTATCGCGCGTCATTATATGTGTCTCTTTCTTTATTGCAGAAATCTTAATAAACTATTCTTGTTGTTCATTGCATGAGAAAGGTCCATTTTTGTGACAAGGACATGCACGTTCTGCTTGACATTCTGTCATGCGCAAGGGTGCGTTCAGTTATTATTTTTAGAGCAAAATCGCCATATAAAAATATTAAATTGGCAATATTTCGAAAACTAAACATTTTCGGAATAGATAACCTTACACAAACTTACCTTTATTTTTAATGCTTAACAAGATAAAATTATAAAATTTTGGGGTTTCCATTTGAAAAAATTGATTTTTGGAAGTTTTCTCAACTTTATTTTTAATCTTATTTTTTAAGCACCCTGTATTAAAAGTTATCAAAACATAATGAAAATCTAATAAAATAGGTCCTTTTCAACAAGGAATCAAGGTCTGCAAACGTAATTTTTTACATAAAAACTTAAATATGTCAAAAACGGTTAGACTCAGGTATAGGACATCGTACATGAAATGTATTTAGAATTTTCCTTAGAATCCAAAAATACATTAATATACGGGGTGTTCTATTTAAAATAACCGAGTTGGTATCAACTTCCGGTATGATCGGAAATGCCGCCATCTTGAAAATATTTTACCTGGATGTCCCCCATCGACATTGCTATGTTGCCAAATTTTCAAATTTTTACCTTTCACAGTTTTCGCATAAGCAATCGATGTCATTCCCGGAGGACCACCCTGTATATTAAATAAACAATCTACGTCGGTGTCATTATGACAAATTAAGCATTGTCATTTGAATGTCATTAGGTCCTTCATAATAGCACTAGTGCGTTTAAGAATTCATAAAAACACCCGAATTATGAAATGAAAAATATAAACATTCGAACTCCGAATCACCAATATTAAAATTATTTTCCACTATAAAACTGAATTTATGGCACAAAAATTGACTCCAATATTGAAGCTGCCAAAGTCAAAGTTCTAAAAATCAACAAGAATGTTTCCGACTAGTACCAGGCACCTGCTAAATTTTGAATTTTAATTTGAAAAGTTTTTGCTATTTCCAGGCAAATCAAATCTATTTGGACCATCGTAGATTAAATTTTGAATAATACACGTTCCATATGAACTTTATTAATGAAACTTGTGTAACTAAACCATTCGGCTAACGCCTCGTGATTTAACGTTACACGCGTTTCATTATGGTGTTCATATCGAACTAGTATCATTAATAACTATAATGTTTCTTCCAATAGTTTTGGAAATATCTGGAGTTCAGTTATTCAAAGACCTTCATTCACGTATCAGAATGTTTTGTGAACAGGTGACAGGTAAATCAAAGTGAAATATTATCAAAAAACTACTGTCTTTGAATAACTAAACTCCAGATATTTCCAAAACTATTAAAAGAAACATTTACATATCATATAATCTGAATAAGGAAAAGGAGAAGTTTAAGAATTTGGACGAAAATTAAGGGCATTCCATTTAAAAAAAGTGAACATCGACATATTTTTTCACTTTGCGTTGCTCATTTGTTCAATCTGATTAAAAATTCTGGCGGTTCAGATAAAAAGCTACAACTTTTGTATTTACACTTTTTACCTATCACCTGTAATTACGGCTGCAGGTGAGTGTCAAAATATGGTGACTCACCCTGTACCTATGCAAAAAGTGATTGTCCCACTGTACTCTACCTATCATAACAAAATGCGCACTTACTCTGACAAGATCTCAGACAACACAGTTGAACCATTGTATAATAAACAGTTTTTGTAATAATTTCCAGCAATATTGATTGATTATCGAGGTTAGCCTAAAAAACGGGTCAGACCGCGTTTCCGCGTTCATTCAATTGACAATTTTATTATCTGTCACCCACAAGCGGCACGCGCAGCACAGGTAAAATGAGAAAGGTCCATTTCGACTAACCATGACTTTAATAATCTTCTGATAATGATTATAGTCGTTAAAACTCTTTTAACTAACATCTGATCAGAGTAGGTGAATCATGATTTAGCGTCGTCTCTTCTAAAACATCTAGTTATCATTTTTGAAGCTAGGTATTCTTCAATTGAATTCTCATCGAGAGTATATCACAGGGTAGTTGCGTTTTCAGCAATTTCTTCTAAAGCCCCTGGATAATGATTCCCAGAGCACTGATTTCAGAATTCTCATAACGTCATTATTGCGAATTCAACAATCTCTTCTGAACCTTATGATTCTTGAAGCTCTTCTTAATCGTCTGATTCTTGAAGCAGTGCCCATATAAGAACTTGTAACGAAAAAATTGATGACGAATTCGTTGTTGGCTATTAAATGTCTGGCACATTTTCACATTTGGCAACCGACTCGCCGGGCTTCCGAAACAATGTCGCAGCGTCGCTCCTTTTTTTGGTACGACGCCGTCAATCATTGCGATTTCACACCAAGCTCGACTTGTAAATAAAAAAAAAAATTGACACGAGGTTTCCGTTGAATGATAAGGAAGTCTATGTATTGTTGCATGATGGAGTATTTTTGAAAACTTCTTACGTTATTCGTGTTTGTTTCAGAAAACGGACTTCCAAGGCGACTGCGTACCGCATACACAAACACTCAACTTTTAGAACTAGAAAAAGAATTTCATTTCAACAAGTACCTGTGTAGACCAAGAAGAATTGAAATAGCAGCTTCGTTAGATCTTACAGAACGACAGGTAAGCTTTGATATTTACAAATTCTAATCAATCAGAAAAACGAAAATAAACAATCTTCTCTGTATACTACTAAGAATCGGATTAAATTAAACTTCGGTCCTTTAAGACAATTTCCAATTATTTCCAGTTTAAGTAAAACCCACTTAATAGATCGAATAGTGCCGTCGCGTCGCTCCTAATGGATTTCGGTTTGATTAATGATCGATCTACGAACAGAACAACATATTACACCCAACTTGAGACGTCTTTTTGCCTTTTTTTACATTAATTTCTTTGGAAATAATAGGTTGCAAGGCCGAGATTTTTCATTAGCGAGGCGACAGTTCTCATAATACACCATATGTGTGTAAAAATTTGTCGTTACTTGAGTTTCGGATGAGAAAGAACGATTAGGCTAATTGACTTCCAATTATGTTCACAGGTAAAAGTGTGGTTCCAAAATCGTCGAATGAAGCATAAAAGACAAAGTCTTGGTAAGCAAGATGGAGATGGTGACGATAAAGACTCGGTCACAAGTGAAGGGGGTAAAAGTGCAAAATTATCTGATAAGTTTTTGGATGATGAAATGTCCAAGAAAAGTTGCCAGGGGTGCGAAATGCCTTCAGCAGGTAAGAATTACTCAAACACCCCAATTTAAGAAAAACAAATAATTTATTTCTATAATAGGTTTATGTGGGGTGGCTCCAGAAGAAGTTCCTGACATAACATCATCCAGAGTCAACAATAACAATACACCAAGTGCTACAAATAATAATACAGGGGCATTTAGTAGCGGCAATTCAACTGGTTCTAGTAGCATCGGTAAGTAATTTAATTAGGATAATGATTTTATATCTAATTATGATCACTATAGGCAGTGCTGGATCATTTGACAAATTATTAGAAGAAGATTCCCGATCCAATGAAGAATGTGGAGGTCCAGGACCTGGTGGAGGATCCAAATCGAAAAAAGGTAGCGGAACTCCAAGTACAGCTAACATTAAGGTAAGATATTACTTTGTATATCAAACACATGTCTGATAAATTATTTGCAGGTTGAAAATAGAAGAAATTCTCCAAATTCTTGTGATAGAAAAGTCAGTTTAGGCAAAATATCTCCAAGCAGTAGTAAAGACGCTTTAAATCCAGTAGATAGTAGTGGTAGTTGTTCGCCTTCGATTAATACAAAAATGTCACCTAAAAACCCACCGATTGTTCATGGAACTTCTCCCAACGTGCAGCACACTAATAATTCATTAGGTATGTCTCCAAGCATGATGTACTCTCCCCATATACAAAGATCCTCGCCTACAACAGCTACAGCTATAGCGTCAGCTACAATAACCATCCAAAATATGCCTTCCAATTCGATACCAGCGTTTGCGAGCAGGGGGGTTGTACCTTTTGGAAATACTCAGTACCAAGTTAATACGCATACTCAAGTGGATTATGGCAAAACCAAGAGCACCTATGGAATGGGACAGCAAATGTATTCTGACGGTGAGTAAAAAGTGTTTTGAAATGTGGCGTACTCAATAATATTTTACTTGCCGCTGTCTATTCTTCTTTTGAAGATTTCTTATCTGTGCTCACACCATGATACTAATTTAATGAAAAATTGGTGCTGTAAGGATGATTACCTCAGCCATAGCTCACTCCTAATATAAGTTTCATTTCATAGAGGTTTATTCTATAACTATTCTCTAGGCATGTATAATCCAGATCACCCAACAATGCAAGAAACACCGCCTTACAGCCGAACAACTCCGCTTTCAAGAACGAGCCGTAGAAATCAAAATTTCCATCAAAGTTATTCGCAACAGCACGCAGCCTACAATTACGCATATAACAAGTCTCATGGGACTGAAAACTATCCTGTAGCAACTGGCCAGAACAGCTACAGTCAAGCGTACCATCCAACAGAACATGGTACTAGACTTGATTGTTTAAGTTTCCTTGTTAATTGAGTTTTTTTTAGGAGGCTACAATCATTATCCTTATACTGGTAACAACATGTACAATTCCGAAGGCACTGAGAATATGCAATCACATATGCCCAACAGCGTCCAGGATACTAATTATTATGCAAATAATACGCATATGCAAAAAGATTTTCACCAGCAAAATAAAGTAAGTAAAGTAAGTAAAACAACCTCTTTCACATCCATTGTTGAACATAGGTCTCCTCTAAAATTTCCCAGCTGTCTCTGTTCTGAGCAGTTGCGATCCAATTGATGAGATCCTTTTTAGGTCGTCTGTCCCGCAAGTGGAAAGTCTTCCTCGGTTTCGTTTGTTGGTTCTTGAGTTTGTCCTTGAATCTTGCGACCTGGCCTGCCCATTTCCACTCTTGCTTTGGAATACGTTCTACAATATCGTCCACCCTAGTTCTTATGCGGATCCCATTATTCCCTACTCGCTCTTTTGAAGTCAATTCAAGTATGGGTCTTTCCATTCGTTTCTGTGTTACTCTCAACTTTCCTGCTGATGTTTTGGTGAGAGTCAATGTCTCCGCATTATAGGTCAGGACTGGTAGGAGACACTGATTGAATACTTTCTGTTCCAAGGATATTGGAATGTCAGCCCTAAATACATCTCTCATTTTCTCATCCCAAGGCTATTCTTCTCGTCAATTCGCATGTTTAGGTATCTTATCTCATGACACAGGTATACGTAGGTACAGTAAATTCCTGGAAGTTTCAAGTTGCTCAGATTCCTGGAAGTATTTTTGAAAAAATTCTAAAGTTGATATGTTAAGAATTTTACAAGGATATTTTTAAAAAAATCATAATTCCGTTTCTGAGGCTCAAATTGACTTCAGATTTGTTATATTTGAAGAAAAGAATTTAGTTATGAATTCTTAAAAGTTTGAAGTTGCTCAGATTCCTGGAAGTATTTTTGAAAATATTCCAAAGTTGATTTGTTAAGAATTTTACAAGGATTTTCTAAAAAATTCATTATTCCGTTTCTGAGGCTCAAATTGACTTCAGATTTGTTACATTTGAAGAAAAGAATTTAATTATGAATTCTTAAAAGTTTGAAGTTGCTCAGATTCCTGGAAGTATTTTTGAAAATATTCCAAAGTTGATTTGTTAAGAATTTTACAAGGATTTTTTAAAAAATTCATAATTCCGTTTCTGAGGCTCAGATTGACTTCAAATTTATTATATTTAAAGAAGAGACTACAATTATGAATTCCTGGAAGTTTCAAGTTGCTCAGATTCCTGGAAGTATTTTTGAAAATATTCCAAAGTTGATTTGTTAAGAATTTTACAAGGATTTTCTAAAAAATTCATATTTCCGTTTCTGAGGCTCAAATTGACTTCAGATTTGTTATATTTAAAGAAGAGACTACAATTATGAATTCCTGAAAGTTTCAAGTTGCTCAGATTTCTGGAAGTATTTTTGAAAATATTCCAAAGTTGATTTGTTAAGAATTTTACAAGGATTTTTTAAAAAATTCATAATTCCATTTCTGAGACTCAGATTCACTTCAGATTTGTTATATTTGAAGAAAAGACTTCAAATATGAATTCCTAAAAGTTTCAAGTTGCTCAGATTCCTGGAAGTATTTTTGAAAATATTCTAAAGTTGATTTGTTAAGAATTTTACAAGGATTTTCTAAAAAATTCATTATTCCATTTCTGAGGCTCAAATTGACTCAGATTCACTTCAGATTTGTTATATTTGAAGAAAAGACTTCAAATATGAATTCCTAAAAGTTTCAAGTTGCTCAGATTCCTGGAAGTATTTTTGAAAATATTCTAAAGTTGATTTGTTAAGAATTTTACAAGGATTTTCTAAAAAATTCATTATTCCATTTCTGAGGCTCAAATTGACTCAGATTCACTTCAGATTTGTTATATTTGAAGAAAAGACTTCAAATATGAATTCCTAAAAGTTTCAAGTTGCTCAGATTTCTGGAAGTATTTTTGAAAATATTCTAAAGTTGATTTGTTGAGAATTTTACAAGGATTTTCTAAAAAATTCATAATTCCGGTTCTGAGGCTCACCGGTTCTGAGGCTCAAATTGACTTCAGATTTGTTACATTTGAAGAAAAGAATTTAATTATGAATTCCTGAAAGTTTGAAGTTGCTCAGATTCCTGGAAGTATTTTTGAAAATATTCCAAAGTTGATTTGTTAAGAATTTTACAAGGATTTTTTAAAAAATTCATAATTCCGTTTCTGAGGCTCAGATTGACTTCAGATTTATTATATTTAAAGAAGAGACTTCAATTATGAATTCCTGGAAGTTTCAAGTTGCTCAGATTCCTGGAAGTACATCTTTAGTTCATCTTTAGACCCATTTATGCATGGAATTTTGAAGTTCCTGGAGCTTTAGCTTCGTTCAGGCTGTCTGATATGTTTGAGAACTGTGATGAACAGCTTGGGTCTATTTTTTGTTTGATTTTAATTTTTCTGGTGGTGGAGTGAAGATTTCCAGTGGTCGTTGCGTTTCCGTATGTTTTTAATAGGTCTGTTTCTGCAGCAATCACAAACCAGTCAGAGCGCATTTCATTGGTTGAAAACAGTCAGAAACAGCTAGTTTCAACTAATGAAATTCGCTCTGACTGGTTTGTGATTTCTGCAGAAACAGTCCTAATAATTTTGCAATATCGGTGATCAACTCTACTTTCTTGTAGTGATTTCAAGATTGCATTGTGTCAAACGTTAATAATTAATATTGATAATTTTTTTTCAGATGGGTTATTATGAATCAACTTACCCCAGCAGCACTCAAGTGCCTCACAACGGTGACTCTTCTTACACAATGACCTCAGAAGTGTTTGCAGGCTCCAACAGCACTCCAGCAGGAGTAATGACGCCACCTTCTAGCGTTCCAACAGAAAACAGCGAGGGCTACAATAATTTCCATCAATACTACAGCGCTGAAAACGCTCCTCCGGCTAACCAACAAGTAGCTCAACCCCAAAACAGCAACGGTTCTTCAGATTTCAATTTTTTAAGTAACTTGGCTAATGATTATATACCCGAGTACTACCAGATCTGATGTAATAATAATAATAATAGTGCAATCGAAGCATTCTCGCATGAATGTCATTGTTAAATTTTTTTGTTGTTGATTTATAGGGTCCTTTTTGTTTGTAAAATTGTTAAAAATCCTTCTTACAGTGTGCATGTAAATAGCACAAATTTAGACAATCCGAAAATGTTTGTTTATATGTAAATAGAACAATCAGTGCTTAACAATCAGATAAATAAGAAATATCAAGGAAACTATTTTAATTTCTTCTAAGAGTTTTAATTATTGACTCCTCACTATTGTATGCTGATAATTTATTGAATTACCCAAGCAAGTTCTGTCGTTCACCATTCCGTCAGGTCACATTTTAGCAAAGGGGTTTCAATACAAATACAAAATGTTACACACATCTAAGTTATAAGAGTTATATCAAAAATCATGTAAATATTTTAGGTTGAATATTATTATTGTATACGGCCTGATCCAATGACACACATTCATTCGTATTTCTAGCATTTTAATTCATAAATATATGACTTTAGCTTTAAAGTTTTGTTTTATTTTAAAGAATTTATGCATGATGGAACAGGACCAATCACAAATCGAGGAAAATACAGACACACCAGCTATTTAGAGAAGCCAAAAGAAAATTTTAAATGATAAATAAAGCTTCATTCAAATCATCTCTGATGTACAAAATAAAACCTACTATTGCTAGGCATAATAAAAAAATCAAATTATAATATCATATAAAGTTAACTAATGAAGGAAAGTTACTTAATTTAAGGATTTGCCACATTAGGTGAAGAACTCCTATCCCTAAAATCACTAGACTCCTCCAAAAACCGATCCATAAAGTCAGTGACTCCTGGATGCAGGACATATTTCTTCTTCTCAAGTCTTATCTTATTAGCAAACATATCGTGCCTCTCGCTCTTCTTCCACAAATAATAAAATTGCACCAATTCCCCCACTGACCTTGTTCTGACTTTGTTTTGCTGAGTCATCCAAAAGTTTTTACCAAAAAGCCTTATGCCAGCTTCGAAGTTTCTGCATTCCTCTTCTGACCAATTTTGCATGGCTTCTTCTTCATATAGGTGTTTGTTGACTTGAAGTCTTCTTAAAGCTTCTTCAGTATTGTGGCCACACTGTTGAAGCAAGTGTAAAGCTGGTTCATTATCTCTTAAATGTTTGCCCATTGGAAGAGATGATTTACAAATGGCTGAAGCTTCTCTAAGGTAATTTTCAATAGTTTCAGAAGTAATGGGCACAGGATCCCACAACAATTTATCATCATTTTCATAAGGCAAAGCATCCCCATAATGGGACAAGCCTTCAGGAATAACCGCTTGATAATCTCCTCCAACCATAATTGTTTTCATAATCATTGGAGCAGGTTCTTCAGCAGGATGAGTCGAATGCAACCTATCCTCATCCTCTTCAATAACTTTGGATCTCAGCAACCTTGAAGCATCAGGATACTTATCATCATACCTTTTAGGCAGTTCATTTTCTTGATTTTCTGATTCGTAGAAAAGCTTCGAATAGTTTTGGCTGGACATGTCTGAACTCGAACTTGAATCTCCCAATTCCTCAAAACCGATACCGTCCTCAAAATTTTTAGTGAGATGGCTCACCGACGATTTTGCTTTAATGTAACCACTGCGTGAATTGATAGCTATGGATGTTCTATAAACTTCCATCTTATGATGACGGGGGCTGATTTAATACAGTGACATTTTGGAATGGATTTCTTCAAAGCCCTGGAAAAAAGGGATTGTATGTGAAAAAATATCTAATATTCCAGCTTTCAGGAATACAAAATCAAGGCGAGTTAATTACCTCCTAATAGAGGTTACTTACCAAATTTATGTTCAAATTTTCAAGACCATGCAAGTTTTTTTTGTTTAACAACAGTGCAGCAAAATCTACTAATCTACAGGCTCTTTGTTCTAGCTACTTTCTGGCTCTATCAACTAGTTCATATTATAAATTTCTTTATTCTCACCAAATAAATAGATTGGCCTCTCCCAAAGTGACCCACTTTTCGAAATAAATATGAACTTGATCGCCCTTGTAACACTTTGACAGGAATATTTTATCGTATTGCTGCAATTGCAAATCAATTTAGAGTTGATTTTTATGTTTATTTTCTTTTGCAAAATGATAATAAACAATAAACATGCAGCAGGAATTTTTTGTCAATTTTCTGACAGTCATTTGATGACAAAGCTAGGATTTGACAACGACAGCCTTCGAGCTAGAGAATATTACAGAAATCTACTTTTTATGATACAAAAATTACAGGTATCTTCATAAATCAATGTACAAAGCTGAAGCTATCGGTAATGCAGGTTTCTTTTCTAGTATTTAAAAATACAGAATCCTATAGTTCATAAGAAACTCCATTTACAGTTTTCTTTATTTTTTATTTTTCACAGTACTAAATAATTGGAGGAAATCAAAAAATTCCTAGGTGGCGTTTGAATGAATAAAATTAAAAATTACAGTCAATAAAATCTTCATGGAGGTAAACTTACAGTGACTCGATAAACCTTCACGAACAGTGCAATAAACCATTGAGAATAAACGAACATTTTCACAACATGGCTGCCACTCATTTGGTTTTTAAGCCTAGTACTCATAACTGCGAAATTCACATTTTTTTGACATTGCTTCGACAAATTGACGTTTTATGCGTGAATCAAACGTCAAATTGTCGAAGCAATGTCAAAAAAGTGCGAATATCGCAGTTATGAGTACTAGGCTTTATACAGGCGGCGGCCATATTGTTGCAAAATTTTCGTCTATTCGTCGCCACTGTTTGAAAAGATTTATCGAGTCACTTGGTGCGTACGATTTGTCTGAACCGGGTTAGCGTTAGTGCGGTGCAGTTATGTTTTGGAACGCAATCATCTGAACTACACCGGAAAATAAAACGCTGCACGGTACGAATGATGTAAAAAGTGCGACATTAATGACGGGTCAGGATAAAAAGTGTCAGTAGTTCGGACTTATCGTACTCACCTACTGTAGGTCCACCAATTTTGTTGGAAGCCACTGTAGAAGTATAAACCAGTAGCGACATCTATCCAATTTATATACAGGGTATCCCACGAAATCGATCTATACAGGGTTATCGTTAGTATAGAAACGTATTTCAGAGCAGGTTTCCATACATAACAACCGTGTATTGTCCGTCGTTTTTAATCTGAAACTTTCCGTATGAGGAGCGAGGGGGTGATGCATATGGCAAAAACAGGTGCGATGTGTGACGTCCTGACCAATGGCGTTCTAACGTAGGGAGCTACCAGTTCACATTCCTTTGGAGTATCAGATTAAGACCTTCGGACTTTATATGGAAAACTGTATACAGAATTATTTTTTAAATTTGACATTGGGTAGGTATATAGGGCGATTTGACCCAAGGATAATACACACTACTAGACAGGATTTCTAGGCCTCGTTTTTGGGAATCGCGGCCATATTCTGTAGCACCTTTGACGACATCATCAACTACGTCGTCAGCTATTTGCGCCAGCGGTCGTAGTTTAGTTAGAATATACATTTATGATGAAAAATATTATTTTAATTTTGATTAATAGGCAAAGAGGAAGATGCAAACCAAGGATAATACACACTACTGTCACTACTACTACAGAATAGCCTAACCTCATAAGGCCTGTGTAGAACAAACCTGAAGCCCCTCACCACGCCAAATCACCAGTTTTGACGGACGTAGACAGCATGTCGTTTCTCGCCTTGACGTATAGGCTGTTTGCACTACAGGTTAGGATTCCGCGGGCTTTGCTTTATGCATACTTGGTTTTACTACAATAATTAAGATTCTAAAACAACTCTTTATAGATCTCGTTTTCATCTTCCTCTTTGCCTATTATGTTAATCAAAATTAAATAATATTTTTCATCATAAATTTAAATGCTAATCCACGACCTTTAATGCAATAAACAGCTGACGACTTGTTAATATGACGTCGGAGGAAATGGTGACACACCAATATGGCGGCGATTACCAAAAACGAGGCCGATAAGCAATCCTTAGTAGTGTGCATTATCCTTGAATACACACTACTAGAAAAAAAAATAAAGTCTGTTTTTTTTTTAAAGATAATTCCCCAAGTCAAAAATTTAGTAACTGTGTTGGCAACACAAGCCTTTTCTACATAAAAAATTTGAAGCATTGAAAATTTTACATTGTATTGCCAACATAATGTCAGTTTGACTTTTATCTTTAAAAAAAAAACAGATTTTACACAGGATTGCTCGGCCTGGTTTTTGGGAATCGCGGCCATATTTTGTAGCACCATTGACGATGACGACATCATCAACTACGTCAACTGTTTGTGCCAATAATATTTTAATTTTGATTAACATAATAGGCAAAGAGGAAGATGCAAACGCGATCTAAAAAAGCCTTCTTTTAGATAATGTACTGAGACCAAGTATGCATAAAGCAAAAGCCCGCGGAATCATAACCTGTGGTGTAAACACCCTACGTCAAGGCAAGAAACGACACGCTTCCTACGTCATCACTGGTTCCTTGGCGTGGTGGGGGGCTTCAAAATTGATCTACACAGGCATTAGGGGGATAAGCTATCCTGTAGTAGTAGTGTGTATTTTCCTTGAATTTGACGTTCTCTCAATAGGCAATCCCAATGAACTATAGCTAAAAACTGGAATGCGCATACATTGCCATATCTGCCAAAAAAATGTAGCCATGAAAGACAGATGCCACAAAGGGGAATGTTGTTTTTTTCTGTTGCTCGCTGTCATATGACGTTTTCGAAAGTTTTGTCATATTTCCCTTCACAGGTTTCATCAATTGGAATACGTGTTGGAAGCAATTTTCGCCATTTAACATAATGAGTGCGACAAAAACAGGTATCCCCTCCGCAGCAGCCGCACTAGGCTTCACGTTCGTCCTTATGTGTTAGCATTCCAGTTTTTGGTTATAGTTCATTGGGCAATCCACTGCGACCTGTCAAACGAAAACGGAAGTTCAGGAGTGCGTTCAAGGACTGCAATGCTAATGCCAAAACCTACTTTTCTCCTTCTACCGGCGATGCCAAATCGCATGTGAATTTGCTGGAACGCCAAATACCGTTTCTCAATTAAGCAATCCAAACCACGTGACATTCAAGATGGCGTGGCGTCCACACATGGACCAAAAAACACACAAAAATATCTAGTTTCTGCCCGACTTAATGGTTTACGTACCTAGTAAACAAATATTTTATTGAATAATCAAAATCAAAGCTGCAAGCAAAACTCGGAGCAAAATAATTGAAATATATATGAAAACACATATTTAAAACTAACTTGCAGGTCGCCACGCCATATTGAATTTTTCGTTTTCAGAACGTCAGCGTTACTATTAATTGTATTATCTATTCACCACTTCCACTTCCGTTCTAGAAGCTTTTTGTATTGTATTATTTATGTGTTGTTATTTGTGCCAAAAGTGACAGACCCCACTCATCTAATCAAAATTCGTATAACCATTTCTAGACTCTGTCTCCAAAAGTTACTTTACCCCGGTTGATTTTGAACGTGTAAAGCCAACCGTTTTTGGCAGGCTGGAGCCGAACTTGGACGCAATATGCCAATTTTGGCTTACTTTAGCCGTTTTTGAACGCAGCCCAGGTCAAACACCGTGTTGTTTACATTTAGGTTACTGATAAAAATCAATGAACAATTACTTATTTTGTCACATTCTGGATATTTAGGTTTGACATTGGCATTGGCATTGTCATGTTTGGCATCTACAAAAACAAGGGCCAGAAGTTTTGTGGGCCAGAATACAAATGCTCTCCTAGTGAGCGTTACAACAATATTTGACCTCAACGGCCATATTGAATCACGTGGTCTGGATTGCCTTTTTCAATATGGCGCCGTGGGAATAATACACCTGACAACCGTAAAGGATGGAATTGAATGTAAAAGCATGATCGTCAAGTTTGTTATGCCCAAGTCGCCATCTTAAATTATCAGCTGATTCGAATTGTCTAATACTAATGTCAATGCGGGGGCTACCCGGCTAAAATATCCTTGGTTATTTTAAATGAGACACCATATACCTATATTATTTAATTTTTGAATTTTACTCAAGACTCTATAGAGAGTTTCCGTGCATATTAGTCTTATACTTAATGGCATTTCTGATTGGTAGATTTAATGCCCACTGGATGTATTTCCTTCTCTTTCTCTCAGCACGTAAAAGAAACAGATAGCAATATATTTTGTTTGCACTGATTCTCAACCGGAAATGCCATTAGTTTTTTTGACATATTTAATTTTTTATGTCATAAACCACGTTTGCAGTGCGGGGACAAAAATAATAATGATTTTTTCCTACAAGAAATCTTTCATTATTTGATTTGGGTTGGATTCCTTGTTGACTAGGACTACTTCAATAGGTGTTTTATAAAATTTTGATAAATATTATATACAGGGTGTTCAAAAAATAAGAATAAAAATAAAATTGAGAAAACTGCCGAAAATCTAATTTTTCAACTGAAAACCAAAAAATTTTACTAGAATCTTGAGTAGAAATCAAAAATGAAATAATTTATTTAAGGTGTCTCATTTAAAATAGGCAAGTTGACGTCTACTTCCGGTACCTATAATCGGAAGTGCCACCATCTTGAAAATATTTTTGCCGAGTTGCCCTTGTTCACATTAGTATACTGTCAAAATTCACATAGTTTTTCAGGTATAGATCGATTTGGTTTCTGGTGGATGGTGGATACAGTGAGGACTTAAAGTCCGACCCCCGGGCCCTTAACTTCGGAACGCACTCAAGCGTATTTAAATACTTGAAATTTAGGTACAGGTGAGTATGAGGAAGCCCTTAGAGCAGGTAAAGGTAAAGAGGAGTAGTAACATGGATTTGGAAAATGAAGCCGTTTTTTTCCAGGTATTTTGGCACCAAAAAAATGGCGGCTTAGGAAATTCAATGCTTTACCTGTATTTCGGTGCCAAACACCCGCCAAAAACTTGGCTTCACTTTTAGTTTTATAGCAGAATAGCGTATTCCTACTCCTTATGTCCGTAGGACAGCGTCTTACCTGCTCTAAGAGGAAGCCAAATAGTAGGTACCAAGGTTCTTACACTCTACCAGGTATGCACAATCTGTCGATTTTCATGCACCCCTCCACGTAAAGAGGGAGCGTGACGTCGCAAACGGAATCGTGACGTCCGCT